TGCTCATGTATTCAGTTGGTTAACTTATGATATCTGTTTATACAAGTAATGTATTTATCAAAAAGGCTTTCCTCTACGACTTTCTAAGCTTGCATTGTATATGCTTCTAGGAGACATGAAGTGCTAAATTAAATAACTCATATTACCTATAGTATTCTTGTATCTGTTATAATAACAATGACCTTTGAATACATGTAATTAAAATAAATTTAAGTATGCTCATTTTATTTTAGTTTTGTAATTGAGAAATTTTGTAAAATTACTTGGAACATGGGATAGACATAAAACTGAAAACATAAATAAACTGTGATTATGTATTTGCTTGTTACAATTCAGGAGGTCATAATAACACTAATTTATTATGACCATAACCATTTTACCTGTAAAAGGAACATTTCAGTTAAAGAAAACTCTTTTATTGTTTGAACATGGGAAAATATATATCCCTTTAAGATTGTCAAAGGGTGCTTAAAATGAGCATAAATATTGGAGACAGAAACATTTTATTAAATCTTGAATTTGCTAATTACATAAAATGTAACTGTGGGTCAAAGTGTGAGTCATAACATCATCTTACACTAAAAAAAGTGTTCAAAATATATAGCATAGACTTATGTGTATTATATGAAAAAAATTATATAAAGAACACAGACAGTATCTAGATATCTCAACAAATATTAGCAAATGTTTCTGTTTCCTTTATCAACACTGCAGACAAAGATTAGACTGTATTTCCCATACTTTTTCAAAAAGTTTTGTGAAATATACATAGCAAAATGTACTAATGTACAATTTCTATGTGTACAATGAATAGCATTTAATATATTCACATTATTGTGCTACTATGATCACCGTCAATTTCAGAACACTTTCCTTATTCCAAATTGTCATTCTTCCCATTAAACAGTAATTTTTCTCCCTACAATCCCTGGTAAACACTATTCTATTTCTGTTTCTACAAATTTGATTATTCTATATATAAGTGGAATAATAAATATTTGTCTTTATATCTGGCATATTTCTCTTAAAATAACATTTGAAAAGTTCATCCATGTTGTAGGATGTATTAGAATTTAATTCTTTTAAAAAGCTGAATAATATGCCATTGTATGTACATACCATCTCTTGTTTATCCATTCATTTTTGTATAGATATTTGGGTTGTTTCCATCTTTTGAGCATTATAAAAAATGCCACTATAGTGTATATGTGCCACATTTTCCCTATCCAGTCTATCGTCGATGGGCATTTGGGTGAGTTTGGGTCCTTTGTGGGTACATGGATGAACCTGGAAACCATCATTCTCAGCAAACTGACAGAGGAGCAGAAGATCAAACACCGCATGTTCTCGCTCATAGGAGGGTGTTGAACGATGAGAACACATGGACACAGGGAGGGGAGCACTACACACTGGGGTCAGTTTGGGGGAAATAGGGGAGGGACGGTGGGGAGTGGGGAGCTGGGGAGGGATAGCAGGGGGAGAAATGCCAGATGTAGGTGATGGGGAGGAAGGCAGCAAATCACACTGCCACGTGTGTTCCTATGCAACAATTTTGCATGTTCTTCACATGTACCCCAAAACCTAAAATGCAATAAAATAAATAAATGGGGGAAAAAATGCCACTACAAGCATGGGTAGACAAAAATTTGTTGGAGGCATAGCTTTAAATTATTTTGGATGGTTACCTGGAATTGAAATTGCTGAACCGTATGGTAATTTCAGGTTTAATCCTTGGAAGAAACACCATATGATTTTTCACAGTAGTTTCACCCCTTTAAATTCCCAAAAGTGTGCACAAGGTTCCAGTATTTCCACATCCTTTCCAATATATTGTTCTGTTTGTATAATAGCCATTCCAATGGGTATGAAGTAGTATCTCACTATGCTTTTGATTGACATTTCCCTAGTAACAAGTGACATTAATTAGTGATGTGGATCTTTTTTTTTCCCCCATTTATTTATTTTATTGCATTTTAGGTTTTGGGGTACATGTGAAGAACATGCAAAATTGTTGCATAGGAACACACGTGGCAGTGTGATTTGCTGCCTTCCTCCCCATCACCTACATCTGGCATTTCTCCCCTTGCTATCTCTCCCCAGCTTCCCACCCCCCACCGTCCCTCCCCTTTTTCCCCCCAACTGACCCCAGTGTGTAGTGCTCCCCTCCCTGTGTCCATGTGTTCTCATTGTTCAACACTCGCCTATGAGTGAGAACATGTGGTGTTTGATTTTCTGCTCTTGTGTCAATTTGCTGAGAATGATGGTTTCCAGGTTCATCCATGTCCCTACAAAGGACCCAAACTCATCGTTTTTGATGGCTGCATAATATTCCATGGTGTATATGTGCCAAATTTTTCCTATCCAGTCTGTCGTCGATGGGCATTTGGGTGGATCTTTTTATGTGTCCATTGGCTATCTGTATATCTTCTTTGGAAAAATCTATATTTAAGTATTTTGCTTATTTTTCATTGGGTTGTTTATTTCATTTTCAGTTGTTGAGTTTTAGGAGTTCTTCACATAGTCTAGATATTAATCTGTTTTCAAATTTATTATACACAGTATTTTCTTTTTTGTGAATTGCCTTTTCACTCTTACTATTATTATGGGTTTTGAGCCTGATGTTACAAAAACTTTTCGTTTTGATGAAGTCTATTTTATTCTATTCTTTTCTTTGTTGCCTGTACCTTTGGCCATATCCAACAAATCATTGCCAAATTTAGCATCGTGAAGATTTTATCCTATATATTCTAATAGTTTTGCAGTTAAATTTCTTATATTTAGATTTTTTTTACATTTCAAGTTAATTTTTTCATATAATGTAAGGTAAGTGTTCCATTATTTTCCATGTGGATATCCAGTTTTCCTAGAAACATTTGTTGACAAAGTTGTTTTCCCCATTGAATTGTCTTGTCATTGTCAAAGATCATTTGACCATATATGTGAGAGTTTATTTCTGGGCTTTATTCTATTCTGTTGCTCTATGTTTATATTTATGCAAATACTACATTGTTTTGATTTTGTAGATTTAAAGCAAGTTTTAGAATTACGGCATGAGAGTCTTCCAATTTTCTTTTTTTCCTAAGATTGTATTTGACTATTTAAATTTATATGAGATTCCATATTAATTTTAGGATAGTGTTTTTTCTATTTCAGCAAAAATACACTTGGACTTTAAAAGGTATTGCACTGAATTTGTAGATCTCTTTGGGTCATATTGAAATCTGAACAATATTAATTCTTTCAGTCTATGGACAGTGTATATCTTTACATGTATTTATGGTTTAAAAAATTCTTTCAGCAATATTTTGTAATTCACAATAAACCAATCCTTTACCTTCTTGTCTATTTCTGAGTTTTATTCTTTTTGATGTTATTGTAAATATAATTGTTTTCTTAATATCCTTTATAAATTCTTTATTGTTAATGTATAGAAATATCACTGAATTTTATATGTTCACTTTATATTCTGCTACTTTGCTGAATTTGTGTGTAAGTTTCAGCAGCTTGAGTGTGTGTGTGTGCGTGTGAAATTTTTAGAGTTTTATATATATGTAGGATTATATCACCTGCCAGCATAGATAATTTTACTTCTTCCTGTCCAATTTGGATGTCTTTTATTTCTTTTTATTGCTAATTGGTCTGACTAGAACTTCCAATACTAGATTATATAGAAATGGAGAAATCAGGCATTCTTGTATTAGTCTTGGACATAGATGAAAAGTTTTCAGTCCTTCATCATGGTATATGTTATTAGCTGTGGGTTTTTCTCATATATAACATTTATTATGTTAAGAAAGAGTCTTTCTATTTCTAGTTTGTTAAGTTTCTATTATTAAAAAAATGTGTCAAAATTTACTAGATGCTTTTTCTACATCAACTGAGATGATCACATGTTTTGATTTATTTTCTTTTATTCTGCTAATGTGGTATTTTATACTGATTGATGTTTGTTTGTTGAATTATGCTTGCATTCCAGGGATAAATCCCACTTGGTCTTGATATACAATTCTTTTAATATTCTGCTGAATTTGTTTTGTTAATATTTTGCTGAAGATGTTTCCATCAATATTTATAAGAGATATTGGTCTGTGGTCATTCTTGTTTATTTGGTGTCCTCATCTGGCTTTGGTACCAGTGTAATTTCATGGAATGAATTAGAAAGCATTCCCTCCTCTTTAGTTTTTATAGAAGAGTGTGAGAAGTTACTCACTTGATTGTTTTTGGGATATTTCATAAAATTCACTGAAGCTATCTGATCCAGGCCTTTTTGTAAAGAAAATTCTGATTACGGATTCAATTTTGTTACTAGTCATAAGTCAATTCCTATTTCCTATTCTTTATGTATACTTGTATGAATAATTTGTTTAGCTAATGAACAAACTAAGCTGTGGATGCAGGGAAACCAAAACTTGCTTCTAGACAATTTACCCTCTGCTTTATGTACATTTGTATTAGAACCACAGCAAGGGAGGGGACTATTAAAAATGTTATATGCATTATTTCATTTGAGTTGTCATGTTTATTATTATTATTCTATATTATATATGTGCTATATGCTCTTCAGAATTTATCACATACTTGTCTTTTAAGACGTGGTTTTTGGAGCCTCATTATTTCAAAATAGAAGTGTGTCTTCACCACATTTGATTATTTTACAGATTTAATGACATACTATATTTCAAAGCCTCCAACACAATCTCTAATAAATAGCAATGTGACTTAAGAAATTTGGTTATAGTTATTTCATCTTGTTTTCTTCATATCTTAAAAGACAAAGCAAGAATTAAAATACCTAAAACCTAAAAGTAAGTAAGTAGTGAGTGACAGCTTTATTTTCCTTTCCATAGTCAACCTCCTACATATATCTTGTTTTTTCGTGCTCTATCAAATCAGGCATTTTTATTTAAAGAACGCTTTGAAAAAATATTTCACTTTGTCTATTAATTCCTTCTCAGTGTTATCACACTGAAATTTTGTGATAAATCTCACTCTTCTTCCTGACAGATATTCCTCTTTAATGGCCTATAAGTTACCTGTGGAGGATGTCCACCCTCTGTTTCAGGCCTTTTTGAATTAGAGGTAGGTAAGTTTGGGTATATATAAATAAGACTTGATGTATTCGTTGCATATTTTCATGTAGAATATATGTACTTTCAAATAGAACAAATAAATAATTGATCAAAATTTGGAAAATCCCTGCCAGAACAGTCTTAACAATCTCACAGAAAATGAAATGGTGGTCCACTTCCTCTCTCCTTTTCTCTTTTTTTTTCAGTTATATCTTCTCTATGAAATATATCTTAATTTCAATGCCATGTGTTTGAGGTTTTAGGCATGAAAATTGGTAGAGATGGGGGTATGTTCTAGCTTCTATTCGGTACCCCATCAGAAGTCTTCTTAATTAGAAGTTAAAGAGTTTGCAAAGTGTTTTGTGTGTGCTAAATCCAAACCTTAAAACAATTCATAAGAATAACAAAGTATATATAATATATTTAAATATTCACTTCAATCGTTTAATTTATAATGACAAATACTACCTTACTCGTTGTGAAGTACCTCAGTACCCAACAACTAAGACAACAGCCAGTGTGTATTGCTGCTGAAAATTAACAAAAACTAAGCTTAAAGATCAAAGTTTGGGCAGGCCAGTGTTCATGTTAGGCCTTCCCCCTTCCCTGTTAAATCTTAAGAAGTTTGATTGGAATGATATAACATACTTGCTTACAATCCATCAAAGACATATTGGGTCATTGAAAATAAACTTCAAATGGCCAAATGAAACAAAGTCACTGTATGACTTTCAGACAGAGTCTGAAAGCCCACTGTGGGGGCTTCAGACAAAGACCTCAAGAGATTTAAGTTACACTGCAAGTTATACAACTCTCAACTACAAATATTTATTCATGATGGCTATAAAATCCTTTCCCACTAAAGATCTTATGGAGCCTGCAGAAATGCCTCTTTAAGTAAAGAATATAAGACACACATTGATTTATAAAATATTCTTTTTTTTCATTGACTAGGTGGCAAGGAAATTTTTTGTTTGAAGGAAATAAACATACTTTCACTTTTAAGGATAAAGAGACACTCTAAACTAGTCTAAAATTCCCTGTCCAACTGACATTAACATGATCAGAACCAAGAATGTGCACTAAGTTCAAATGTACAGTTATTTACTACTAAATCCAACAAATTTCACATTACAGTAGTTCCTCAGTTTCTGCAGGGGATTGATTCCAGGAACCCCCAACAGATACCAAAGTCCATAGATGCCAAAGCCTCTTTTATAAAATGGCATCACATTTGAATATAACCTACCCACATCCTCCCATATATGTACTCTAAATCACCTCTAGAAACTCATGATACCGAATACAATGTAAATGCTACATGTATAATTGTTATGCTGTATTGTTTCTTATTTGTATTATTTTTATTGGTTTGTAATTTTATTTTTAAGGTATTTTTATTCACAGTTGGCTGAATCTGAGGTTTCACAACCAGTGGATACAGAGGGTCAATTGTACATGTTTGTTATATTTTCTAAGGTAAGTGGAAATCTATTTAAAATTTTGTCACCAATTTTATTTATATTTCATCACAATCTGTTAAAAATACATTATATAAATCATTGAAATAGATCTAGTTATTGTGCTGATTTTTTAACCATCTGTCACTTGTGTTTTGTGAGTTTCTTTGTGTGAATATAATTTTTTATACCTCAAAGAAAAATTTCACTTGAGTAGCTTCTCTCTCCACCCTTACCCCTTCTAGAATTAATGTCTGCATTGCAAAAGAAATATCTTCTTGAGGTGTTTTGTGAAACTATGAATTAAATTTAGAAAGCCATCAGGAAATCTATCTCCACCAAAATTAATGAGACATATGCTCATCGTTGAGATTGTTTGCTCATATCTCATCCTCACTTAACTTAGCTGGAATTTCCAGTTTTTACATACTTACATTTCAGGTCAAACAGAACCTCAAAAACGTTTGTGACCCAATTCTCACTCTGAGAAATCCAAGTTACTTCCCAATTATAGAATCTTATTATCCAGAACTTCTTGGCATTTAATTTATCTAGAATAAGGAGAGAAGTAAAAATAGAGTGTAAACAAATTATTGTACTGGGCCTCATTTTGTTTGCCAGAAGAAGGAGTGGATGAGAAATGTACCCCTTTGGAATGGGCTCAGAGAATAAGGATATTCATGTTCCTTTTAAAAGCCTATTAAGAATCACCTCTATATCAGAGATTCTTAATAATCAAATGGATAATATGATCTTCTCCATGAATGAAAAAATCAGTACTCTTGCCATCCAGCTCAGTGCATGTTTTATGAGCTCGTAAAAATGTCCAAGATGGCAGAGATGTAGGCTTTTAAGGGATTTCTACTCACTGGGACTGACCTGACTACTCTGATTTACAGTGTATATTTCCAGCAGTGAAAAATAGGTAAAAACAACAACAACAAAAAACTTCCAGTCTCAATATGGCACCATGTCTTCAAGAGACCATTCTGAAGGCAAGCAACCATCCTAAATGTTAATACCTTTTCTGTTAAAAGTTGAAGTTAGTTTTCCTTCCTAAGATAGACCTTATTCTGGTAATGATGTGCTCCATCTTTCTCTAAATGCTTTTGTTATCACGTCTACTAATGAATTTACCAGGTAACCTCATATACTATCCTGTTTTCTTATATAATTTTGACTTTACTCAGCTAGCTTTTCCAATGGAAAAAACTAAAGCAACACCCTTATGCCCTTTGGATTCTCTAGTACTTTCTACTTTATCATCTAAAAATAGTTAATCCATTAGTCTGTTCTCACAAATAAAACATACCTGAGACTGGGCAATTATAAAGAAAAGAGGTTTAACTGACTCACAGTTCATCATGGCTGGGGAGGGCTCAGGAAACTTACATTGTTGGTGGAAGGGAAAGCAAACATGTCCTTCACATGGCAGCAGCAATGAGAAGCACCAAGCAGAAGGAGGAAACTCCCCTTATAAAACCATCAGATCTTGTGAGAACTCACTATCACAAGAACAGTAGCACAGGGGTAACTGTCCCATGATTCAATTACCCTCTCACGACACAGGATTATGGGAGCAACAGTTCAAGATTAAATTTGAGTGGGGACACAGCCAAACCATATTAGTTAATTTTACTGACTTGTGTAATGACACAAATCTATAGATTGTGATTTGAATCAAATTACAATTAACAATAAAATTTCTCTTTAGATAGAATGTATGGGTCCCAGAACCAGTGTTTGGTGTTGGTGATGACTTCAGGTTTATACTCAAATACGTACTTCCATAACATTTTTAATTTTTCCAAGGACTTTGGATTCTATACATTTTTACATTTGTATTGTCCAAGAGATAAACACTTTCTACTAGTGGACTCAACAATAGTTCAAATGGTTAAGAATCTAGCAGCTGGTCACTACATGCTATGCACAACACTAAAAATTAGGGAGAAAAAGATGTTTCAGTGTTGGTTGGTGATATGGTTTGGCTGTGTCCCCACCCAAATCTCATTTAGAACTGTAGTTCTCATAATCCCCACATGTCATGGGAGGAACCAGGCGGAGATACTTTAATCATGTGGGCAGTTCTCCCATCCGGTTCTCATCATAGTGAATTTGTTCTCATAAGATATGATGGTTTTATAAAAGGCTTCCCCCTTCACTGGGCTCTCATTCTTCTCCTTGCTGCCACCATGTCAAGAAAGACGTGTTTACTTCCTCTTCTGCCATGCTTGTAAGTTCCTTGAGGCCTCCCAGTCATGCTTACCTGTGAATTAATTGAACCTCTTCTCTTTATAAAGTGTCAGGTATGTCTTTATTAGCAGCATGAGAATGGACTAATACAGACGGGGTATTTCATAGTAATAAAACAGTAATAAAGAACAATAAGATAACTGCTATTAGACAGAAACCCAGAAAAGTACAGTTGGAATCCAGGTGACTAGAATGCTGTCTTTTCTGTACAACCTCCAGAGTTATAGTTAGATTACTAAGATTACCTTGAAAAGGTTTTGTCCGTACTCTCAGTGAAAAAGCGAAATAACCTTATAGACCAGGCTTAGAAAGTTGCTTCATTTGCCACAATCAGCAAGGTGGGGAAATCAAGAAACAGCATTTGAGATAATTATATTCAGGAAGATAGGATTCTTAACTTCAATTTAGATAAACAGAAACTAATATCATTCCTGCAGTTATTGATGCAACAGCAATGTCAACGGCTGAATCCACGAGGGCAGTCAATCCAAGGACACATGAACCACCCCTTTGCATGCTGACATTAGAAAACCCAGCATCTTCATGACTGACGTGAACAACATGTCAGGAGAACAAGTAGAAAGGCATTTTCAACTCAATTTTATCTTTTAAATTTCATGCAAGATAGCATTTCACACAAGTGCTACAATTGGTAGAAATTAAATCATAACCCAAAACCTAGTTACTAGGTCATCTGATAAGTGAATTTTGTTTGTTAGTTGGTTGTTTGAATGTTTGTTGGGTGGGTTTTTATTTTTTTTCCTACTCTGGAAGAAGCTGACACCCAAAAGTGGTTTAATGATTGTGTTGATCTACACCATATGGAAAAAAAATCAGTTATAGCTTGCGAACTAATTGCAGAAAAAAGATTCAATTCCTTTATTTCATATTCCAAATATATTTTAAAGCATAGGTGTCACTGATTTTCAACTAATCTTTCTTCCACTAATATATAAAGTGTTAGGTAGGTAAATTTATGTCCATAGTTTATAGACGATTACATCATATTATGGCATACCATAAGTAAATCACACAAGGCATCATCCAAGGTAAAGGAATTGTCAATGGATTTAGGCTATCACTTTGTAGAAATAAGATAAGCAGTGTGTGTGTGTGTGTGTGTGTGTGTGCATGTGTACACATGCAAGTACAATAAAACGATTATATAAATTGGGGAGAGTGGGAGCTTTTAAAAATCATAGTGAGAAAAAGTTATTTGCATGTGAATGTATTCTTTTTATTTTTAAACAAACAAGGGATAAATATAGTAGATATCTATTTTCCAACCAGTCTCTCATATCCCTGTTCCTTAAAAAAATATTTTCTTCTTTTGTGTAGTAATTTTCACACTCCATGTATAATTTATGGAACTGTATATCAGAGATGTATCAGTCTGCATGCACCTTCCCTTTTCCCTTGCAGATTACGTATGACCCAAGTGGACCAATCATACCCTTCCTCTCAGAAGCTTGACTCTTGGGCAGAATAATATGTACATGAATGGCAGATGAAATATTCAAAAGAGATTGCCATTATTCTGGAAAATATTAAGAAATGTCTGTGGATTCCATGATTCCTATGTGTTTCTCCACAGCCTTCTCTTTCTCTTTATTTATTTATCAAAGTATTCTTCTAATATACTCATTTTTTTCTCAACTTTCGGATTGATTCATACAATAATGGAATCTCATTGATCAATTAATCATTGTTTTAATCAGACATATATCCTAAGAAGTATGTTGACAATGTCATATGATTCCTCACGTTTAATGTTTAAAATAATGTTTAAAATAAATATTGTAATT